TTTGCTTAAGTCATGATCTCAGAATCCTGACATCCACCTCCGTATCTGGCTCTGCTCTGGGCACGGAGCCTGCTTGAGATTCTCTCTCTCCCCCTCTGCCCCTCCTCTCACTCATGAGCACTCTCTCTCAAATAAGTAAGTAAATAAATAAATAAAATTTTTATTAAAAAATACAATTTATAAATAAATCTTTTAAAAAATCCTCTTGGGGTTTACTGAACTCTGAAGTCAGGTTTATCATTTGTGTAAAGGCCACCAAGTGGAGTCCCTTAGTTCTCTTTTGACTTTTTTCTCCCTACTCTGCTTGGAAATTTTTTATTTAGTCTGCATATTATTCCAAATATTTTATCGTGTTTTATTTTGTTTGCTTTTTTATTTAAAGTCAAGTTACTTAACCTATAGCAATGGTTTCAGGAATAGAATTTAGTGATTCATCACTTATCTATAACAGTACTCATCACAAATGCCCTCCTTAATGCCCATCATGCATCTAGCCCATCCCCCACCCACCTATTGCAAATAATTTCTGTTTTACATGTGCATCCAGGTTTAAAAAGAAGAATTTGACATCTCTGTTCTCTGTTTCCATTATTACAACTGCAGAAGAGCAAGGGTTGCCACACCTTAGCTCCCTAAATTGGGAAGCATCAAGAGTTATAAGGAAGCAAAACAAAAACCCAAGATACTTCCCTGTATTGCAGCACTACATAAAGTTGCAATTGGAATTTTTGAAAAACATTTTTATTTTTATTTTATTTATGTAATCTCTCCGACCCAACACTGGGCTTGAACTTACAACCCTGAGATCAAGAGTCACATGTTCTGACTGAGCCAGCCAGGCACCCCTGTAATTGGAAATTTTGTATTTTTTATCATAAACATTTTCAATATTGCTGGTTTCTAATTCACCATTTTGCTCTGCTGTATTGTTTTCCCCTTGAGTAGTTATACTACCATTTGGTTGGTCATTCTCCTTGTGTGATTGCCAGTGTTTCACCATGGAACACCATGAACATCTTCACCATGGAACACCACAAACACCACAAACCTTTCTTGAAGTTATTTTTATTTTTTATTTTTCAAAAAGATTTTTATTTATTTATTTTGAGAGAGAAAGAGCACACGAGGAGGGAGGGGGCAGAGGGAGAGAGAAAGTATCTCAACCAGACTCCCTGCTGAGCACGCCCCTGAGCTTATGACCTGAGCTGAAACCAAGAGTCAGACACTTAATAAATGCATTTAGATAGATAGTTAGATAGATGATTATTCCTCCTACTATTCCACTATTTTTTTTTTTAAGATTTTATTTATTTGACAGAGACAAGAGAGAGAGGGAACCCAAGCAGGGGGAGTGGAAGAGGGAGAAGCAGGTTTCCCGCTGAGCAGGGAGTCTGATGCAGGACTCCATCCCAGGACCCTGGGATCACAACCCGAGCCGAAGGCAGCTGCTTAAGGACTGAGCCACCCAGGTGCCCCCTATTCCACTATTTTTAACCCAAAGTGTAGCATACCAACTGCTGCACCTGGCATTCAGGCAGACAGTTCAGAGAGCCAGGAATTATCACATAGATCAAACTGAATAGTATGGAAAGGCCCCTGCCCATACCCAAGGGGTAATTTTGCACAATGTTCTAGACTAAAGGTTGACAGACTGAGTGGAAGTTTTTTTCTGTCAATGACTTGGCTGCAGTGCTCACCCCCTTGGAACATCTGGGAGGTTACAGGAATATGGGCTGGGTTCACCCAGTGCCTTAGTAGGTGCTTGGGCTGACCCAGGGAGTCTCCCTCTCCACTCAACGTTGTGCTGGCTAGATAGACAAACATGATTTTCATTAAGGATAGTTCCCTGGGTGATTCTGGGTGAGGCACAAGATAGCCAAATTCTACAGCTAATTTTCTAAAACTTCTTGCAGGAATAGAAGATTCTGTAAGGAGGTGAACAAGGCTGGAAATAAAGCCTTAAGCACTGAGAGTGTGTTTCATTCACAGCAAGTATTCAGCCACTGCCTCCTGTGGCCTGAGAAGAGTGAGATGGCCCTGGCCCTGGGGCTGGGAAGGTTGCGTCTAGAAGGAAGGACATGTGGGCAGTGCTTCATTTGCATTTTTTTTTGGCTAGTATTATCATAATACCCTCAGCCTTACTTTCGTCATTCGGCTTGGGCATGTTACTTGGCTTTGTCTTTTTATCTCCTCTGCCATCTTTTAGTTTTATAATTTACTTTTACATTACTCGTGCCTCTATTTATTTTTTTTTTCTTATTGGATTTCTCCTGGAGAGAGGGGTCCTTAAAAGCTGGTCTCTTTGCAGGAAAATTTAGAAATGGGTAATAAGACCATTAGAAAGGACTGACTCTAACTCTCATTTGAGGGATCTGGAAACTCAGTCCAAGAAAAGTTTCCAGTAGGTTAGTCGTGGTGGTTAGTTGAAGAAGGCTGGACAGGCCCCCTTCCCAGAAGATCTGAGGCAAAATGTCAAGATTTAGTCTTTTCGTTTATTAATAGCTTTCACCTTGGATGGAGGTCAGCTGATAAGCCTCAGGTTTTAAGTACCCTGAACTGAACTTATTTTACTGTTTATTACATACCCACCACCAGAATGGTTAAACTAGAAAGACTGAAAATACCAAGGGAATAAAGCAACTAGAACTTTGAACCATTGCCTGTGGGTTTGTAAACTGATCAGAATACTTTGTGAAACAGCTCATCTCCCGTGTTAACTAAACTAAAAACAAAAGCAAAATCTGCTTATCTGCTAAAAGTAACATGCATTTCTACTCCTATATATTTATCCAAGAGAATTAAGCAATTTACATATCAAAAGATAGGTACATAAATGTTCATTGCATTCCATTATTTATAATAGCTAAAAATGGGAAACAATGCAAATGTCCTTCATCAAGAGGATGGATAAATAATTTGTGGTGTCTTCATACAATGAAATACAACACCGCAGAGACAAACTAAAGTCATTCCATTTAATGAAATTCAAGAACAGACAAAATCTACTTTATGGTGAAAGAGGTCAGGATAGAAATTTTGGAGGAAGGGTTGGAAGGCAAAGGTATACTGATAAGAGAGAACTCCCAGGGACGCTGGAAATGTTCCCAATCTTGATATAGATGGTACTTAAGTAATTACACAGAGATAAATAAGTAAAAATTCAGCTTAAGCTAAACATTTCAAATTTGTGCATTTCCTATATACCTCAATTTTTAAAAAGTGTCCTACATTGGATCTGCAATGTATTAAAGGCAATGCAATGAAAACACTTTTATCATTTCAAACATATTTTATTTTTAAAATTCAAGACTATCAAGTTTACTGTTTTCGTTATCCCATACCCAGCAGATTGCATCACCTCCAACCAGTCTGCCTTTTATCAATCCCTCCTTACTGACAGGTGGTCCTGCCAAGCACATATTTGATTTGGCTAATTGCCAGTTTCACAAATTTCCCTGGCTCACAGGAGTCTGTGGGATACAGGACAAATACCTCACTGAAGCAAATAAAGACTTCCCCAATTCACTCCTTATCTGCCTTTCTAGATCCAGGGTGATTTCCATTCTCCGTGCCCTTAATCCCAGCACACAGAACTTTCCCCATTTCTTCACCTTTGGACTCCTGCTCCATACATCCACTATCCTACCCCTGCTTCTACCAAATCTACCAAAATCTACCAAATCCCTCCTCACGTTTCACTATCCGGCTATCAAGGACTCACTCTCAAATGTCCACCCATGGTTTCCAAAACCCTCAGTTTCCACTTTCCTGACTTTGTAAGCTCAGTGCATTCACCATATTAAAACCCCCATATTTTATACTATCCACACCCAGAATTAAATGTTTCCTGAGAGCCGGCATCATTTCTCTTCATCTCTGGATCCTAATGCTCAGCGCTTTGCTAATTAAATGGGTGCTAACAGAACTGAATTATACGTTTTTTGTCCCGGACTTCTGGTTTTCACAGTAATGTTGCTTCCTATTAAATTCTTCACTGTAGCAGACTCAGGAATGAAGGTGGATACAGATAAGATAGCTTAGACACTAATTAGTGTTGTATCTAGTTTGGGTTTCCTATTTTAAGAGACAAATCTCTTGTCCAATAGGATAGCCGCTATTAAGTCGCTATTTAAATTAATTAGAAGTGAATTGGGGCGCCTGGGTGGCTCAGTGGGTTAAAGCCTCTGCCTTCGGCTCAGGTCATGATCTCAGGGTCCTGGGATCGAGCCCCACATCGGGCTCTCTGCTCGGCAGGGAGCCTGCTTCCTCCTTTCTCTCTGCCTGCCTCTCTGCCTACTTGTGATCTCTGTCTGTCAAATAAATAAATAAAATCTTTAAAAAAATTAATTAGAAGTGAATAAAATAGAAAATTCAATTTCTCAGTCTCACTAGCCACATTCGAGTACTCAAAAACCCCATGTGGCTAGTGGCTACCATACTCAACCGTGCAGAATGGAACATTTCCATCACGGCATAAAGGTCTATGGGACTGAGCTGAAAAATCTCTGGCCTTTAGGCTTACGAGATCTTTCCTCTTAGAATCCCCTTCCACCCTCTTCCCACAGTGCTTCCCCTATAACCATCACCATCCTTATTCTGTTCGTAACTGCAGAGTTCCAGGACGGCAGGGACTGCGTCTTACTGCAGTAACTCCAGTGTTTAGTTTTGAAGCCCCGCGCTATTAGTAGGCGCTCAGTAAACGTTGAATTAATAGGTGATAGAACCGGAGGGACTTTCCAGATACACCAGTCTCAAGCCCTTTCCCACGCTGATCAGTCCTTTAGGTGTCTCCAGCATTTTTCTTTTTAAGCCTATCTTCAAGCACCCTCCTGGAGAAGAGAGAAAAGCGCCACCACGAACCCACCTGCAGACTGAATTTTCCAAGCGGCCGCCTCAGGCTCTGGCGTCACCGGCCCTTCCCACCTCTGCCCGGCTCCGCCCCCTCCCTGGTTGAGCAGAGGCCAAGAGCACGCGCCGCCCCCGCCCCTAATCTTCATTGCGCAAGCGCACCTGCGAGCGTGGGGCGTCTCGAGGTGGCCGGCTGCCGGCGCTCAAGAGCGCGGGGGTTTGTGGCCTGCGTTCGGCCGGCTCCAGTCGCGCACTCTCCGAGGCAGCGAGGCGCAGCGATCCGTCTCCCCGCGCCCTGGGCAGTGTGGCCATGGAGAATCAGGTGCTGACGCCGCACGTCTACTGGGCTCAGCGACACCGCGAGCTGTATCTGCGCGTGGAGCTGAGTGACGTGCAGGTAAAAGCCGGTGCGGGTGGTGGGACGAGCGCCGGGTTGCAGCCCCGGGAACCTTCCGATCTCCCCCATCCCCTTTGTCCCGGGGCGTGCCGGAGATCCTGCAGTGCGCCAACGGGTTCGGCGACGCGGTGCACTTTTCGGCGTCCGGGCCGGGGCAGAGGCTGGCCCTCGTCGAGGAACACCCGTAGACCCCGGGCCTGGGGCGCAACCCCCTGAGGGCTGCAGGTACCTTCGGATACTGCCTGAGCCCTGCGAGGCTCTCGGAGGCTGCCCCGGCCTTCTCTTTGTTCACAGGCTGCGGCCTGATGGAGCCCGCGCCCGGCCGCCGAGGCCTAGCCGTCGGGGTTCGGGTTTGCCTAGGCCCTTCGAGGCATGGGATGAGCTCTTTGGGCCGGGGGTGCAGAATGAACGGTGGCTTGCTGGGTCCTGGCTGGACGTCTGGTGCTGGCCAGAGAGGTCCTGCCAGGCCGGTCTGACGTTCGCAAGGCCCGACGCCCCTGCCCCCAGAGGGGCCACACCCACTTTCCAACCGTTCAGTGATGGAAATCATTCTTGTTAATTTTAATTTTAAAATCCGGAAGACCCGCTGAAAGTGATTTTCCCCTTGTTCTGAGGGCTGTGAGCTCAGGTTTGCGGAGTTGCATAGAGAACTTAAAAATTAAGTTACATCGAGCATTTATGTTTGATTTCCTTAGCTCCTTGTATGACCAAGTCCATGCCTCCTGCATGATGGAGGTTCCAGGACCCGTGTACCCCCTGCCTCTGTCCAAACCATTCAGAAACTGTAGAGTTTTCAGTCTGGAATGTTCTTTCTTCAGTCATCCTTTCTCCTTATCTGTGACATCTATGGCAATTTGTAACCTCCTTCATTCCACCTAACTTTCTCTGCCTTTGACTCAGTCGTTCATAGTTCTCTCTGTCCACCTGTGTGGCATATTTCTTGCAAAGTGTAGGTGCTCTTTGGGTATGGATTTGAATTTGTTGAATTGAATCTTTGTTTCTGGAATTTAAACCCGTTTTCCCGTTGAAAGAGAAAGACAGTACTGGCCAGAATGCCTTTAAATAGGATGTGACATTGCATGGCATGTCATTTAATGTGTTAAATCAGACTGAATTATACTTTTGCATCAGAAGATGAGTAAATGTACTGTGCTGTCTCCCTCTACTCTGCTCCAGGGTATTGCAGGAAAGAAGGAAACAAACAAAGTCGTTGTTGGTGGGGATCAAAGTCTCCATCTGGAGAGGGTTCTCAGTAACTGTGGAACATGTGTTATGACAGTCTCTTTTTTAAAAAAGTAATTTAGCCAAGCCTTACGTAGACCAATTAAATTTAGGCCCTCCCCTCTCTAGATGTTATCATGTAATAAGGATGTCCTATTCTGGGATACTTTGAAGCTGGAAACACCGAAGGTGTTTTTAGGGGAATAGGATGGTGGTGGTAGTGGAAAGAAATGGAAATTATTTGGACAAAGGAAAGGTGCATCATACTTAAGTTTGTCTTGAGAGATCTAAACCTCCTTGTTAAGAAATAGGAACACGTGTTAATCATCTTTGGTATATTTAGCAATATGAGAGGTATACATTTGAAAGTTATTGTAGTTAAAGAAATGCAAAGGTGGAGGAAAAAAATGGAAGTTTCTTTTGGAGAGAGAAATCCTTTTATTTTGGGGAAAAAATAAATCCCCCCCCCCCACCAAAGCAATGTGTTATTACCACTCCTAAAAGAAATCCTCTACCATGTGTGAGGTACTAGAGCTTCACAGAGATGAGTCAGACAGTCTCGGCTTTCCAAGAGCATACTATCTAGAAGAAGCATATTATCATATACAGACAAAAAGTTTTGTGTAGGAGTATGTTTATTGGTAGAATTAGAGTTGGATATGAACCAGGTCCCTGGTGTTAAAGGAATTTGTTACCTCTCTTATGCTTAGTTAGAGATGACTTCCTGAAATGAGATGAAGTGTTCTTTTTTTTTTCTTTTTAAGATTTTGTTTATTTATTTGACAGAGAGAGAGAGAGAAAGAGAGCAAGAGAGGGAACACAAGCAGATGGAGTGGGAGAGGGAGAAGCAGGCTTCCCGCTGAGCAGAGAGCCTGATGTAGGGCTTGATCCCAGAACTTTGAGATCATGATCTGAGCCGAAGGCTTAACGACTGAGCCACCCAGGCACCCTGAGATGAAGTGTTCTTGTCAAACTGAGATTGGAAGAATGTTCCAGGAAGAGAAAGGCGTAGACTCTTAGGTTGTTCGACTTGTACCCTATCAGTGCAACTACAGCCAGAGTGTCAGGGAAACACCCCTGGTTAAACAAGTTGGGTTTATTATTCATTTCAGGAAGGGAGATCATAGCCCATGCGGGACGATGAGGTCTGATTAAGGGGGTTAGAACTGATTGTAGGATTTAAATGCTGTCAGAAAACAGGGGCAATTCTGTGGTTGGCTATCAGAATAAATCCTACCTGTAGGGAGGAGGGACTAGCAAAAGAATAAAAGTAATTGGTAGAGAAGTCGCAGTCACTCATTTTGGCCTAGAGAAAGGGTGTCTGGTATTTTGGGAGTGGCATAGCAGCCATTTTATTGGTCTGTGCTTACACAAAATTATGAAATGACCTTTGTCTCATTTCACCGAGGTTTCAGAATAGCCTGTCCAAGGTTGGTATTCTGTGCCATTATGTCCAACAGGAGAGTAAGATGGCCGAGCTATGAGTGACAGGCCACCCTCTGAATGTCAGGGCTGCTGGGTTTCTTTCTTTCTTTCTTTTCTTTTTTTCTTTACATTTCTCATTCGCTCAGTGCACGGCTGTTGAACCTGTAATTCAGGCTCTGGATGAAACAATTCATTTATTCAATGAAGACCATGTGTGGAGTGACTCCTTTTATCTCATTAAGCTAAATATTGGGTTGTTGGACAGCTCTCTGTTGCCCCCTGCTTTCTGGCGTTTCCCATAGTTACTGAGTTTTAGTGTTGAATTCCAATTTAGGGACATCAACTCTGCTCCCCTCCCTTTCTGAGACACAGAGAACTGTCCAGTTTTCACATCTCTATTCTATCCTTAGAGCACAGGGCTAGTGGCTCCTGAGAAATGTCCACTAATGTGAGGAGGAATGATGCACAATAAAGACTTCCAACAGCAGCCTTCTCTGTGTGTGACGTGAGTGGTAGCAAAGATGCTAGTTGGAGTCCAGGGGGCGAGGGCAAGGCTATTTTCAAAATTTTCAAAGTCTATTTTCAGAATAGACTTTATTTTCAAGAAAAACATAATTGACAGGTTTGTGCCAACAACCATAGTTGTTAAAGCATTCGTTCATATATCAAGGTTTTCTTTTGTTTATTTTAGTTGTGTGTGAACAATGTGCATACCTGTGTTTGGGAGCTGTTTGACAGATACTGTTTTTGTCCTTACTTGATAGACACTCTGGTAGAAAGAGGGGTAACCGAAGAAGTGAGATTGGGGTCTTGCGGTTCTACTTCCTGTCTGTGGCCGTGGGTAATTCATTTAACCCTTATGTCCCTCGGTTTCTTCATCCAGATAAATGTGAATGCACTGAATTCACAGGATTGTTTTGAGGTCTGAATTGGACAATGGATTTGAAAGTGCTTGTAAATTCTAGTTTGCTATTCAAGTGAAAGGATTATTATTGTGATACTAAACCTTAAAAGAGAGAGAGAAACACAAAGGGCAGTAGAATAGGGTAGAGTCTATTAAGCAGAGTTATCCATATATGAAAACTTATTGTACAGCAGAGGTGGCTTTGCATATTAATTGGGGAAAAGATGAAACATTTGGGAAATTGTTTGGGGACAGGTGGTAATCCAAGTAGCAAAAAGATTATATAAGATCTCACCACAAAAGTCAGTTCCAGGGGGGGCTAATGACCAGAATGCATAAAGCAAAACTACTAAAAGAAAATATCGGAGACCATCTTCATGATTTTGGAACAGGGAATAATGTGTTAAATAAAACACACGAAACATAACTCCTGAAGATTAATTTAAGACAAGCTTGAAAAAGATCTCTATAGCACATATCACCGACAGGTAACTAACATCTGAAATATGTAAAAGACAACCGACAGATCAATAAGAAAAAGACATATTACTTGTTAGGAAAAGGGACAGAAAATATAAGCAATTCAGAGTAGAAGGAAACACGAATGACCAGTAAACCTAAAAAGATGCTTGATCTCAGTCGTAATCAGGGACATGTAAATTAAAGGGATAGTATTTGTTAGAAATTGATAATATTTCTTAGATTAGATTGGGAAAAATGAAAAGTCTAATACTACCAATTATTGTTGATATTGTTCAGCAGTGGGACATTTTTATACAATCCCCCCACCCCAACCTCACCAAAGACCACCAGAAATAGCTTTTTGTTTTAAAGTTAAATTAAATTTATTTAAATTCAGTTAATTAACATATAGTATATTACTCATTCCAGAGGTAGAGTTCAGTGATTTCATTAGTTGCAAATAAATAACCCAGGCGCCTCGATTATAGGTAACTTTTAAAGAAGCTCCCTCTTGGGGCGCCTGGGTGGCTCAGTGGGTTAAAGCCTCTACTTTCGGCTCAGGTCATGATCTCAGGGTCCTGGGATCAAGCCCCGCATCGCATCAGGCTCTCTGCTCAGCGGGAGCCTGCTTCCTCCTCTCTCTCTGCCTCTCTGCCTACTTGTGATCTCTGTCAAATAAATAAATAAAATCTTAAAAAATAAAAAAAGATCACCTTCTTAAAAAAAAAAAAAAAAGAAGAAGAAGAAGCAGCTCCCTCTTGGTGAGGGGAGAGGCTGAGCAGAGTCATCCGTGGTGCAGTGTTCTTGGAGTCCAGAGAAGAGGGGAAGGCTTTCTTTCTAAAGGATGTAGGCCTTGAGCTATGTTTTTGTTTTTTTTTTTAAGATTTATTTAGTTATTTATTTTGGGGGGGGGTTGGGGAGGGCCAAAGGGAGAAGGAGAGAGAGAATCCCAAGCACATTCCCTGTTGTGCACAGAGCCCCACTCAGG